TCAGATGTGATAAAATATCACAGTGCTCCTGGCGAAAACAAAATAGCCACACCCGCACGATTAACAGTGCCATGAGAAAAAATACCAAGGTCACGCCACACAAGTTTCCAAATATTTTCATCGGAGACAAGAGAGTGTGTTTCTTATAGCATATAAATATTACAGGGATGGACACGCTTGAGATAATTGAAAACACTGTACCGTTTGAGGGCGTCCCGGCAACCATTGACATTGTATGTTGCGCATGTTATTGTGTTTGCCATCATAAAAAGGGAAATTAAAAATCAGCGATAAAGTTACCCGTTTTGATTTGCTGTTTAATTTTTTTAATGAGTCTGTGCATGCGAGATTTATCAGATGTGTTCAACTGCGTGGTATTGCGGTAGTTTATCAGATGTCGGACCAATATTTTAAGATTGGGGCAAAATTCAAAACACTTGTCTATAAATCTACGTGAGTGAAGTGTAGACACTAAAAAGGTTTTGATATTAGCGTTTGATATTGTTGATTCGCTGTTATCAGTACATGTTGAAACCCCTCATTCTCACTACATTCGCTGGCAGTTTCCTCCATATCATCAGCGGTTTTATTTTGTGACATAGGTGTGCTGAAAAGGTCTTGTGATTGATCAGTTAAACCACTTAAATCAATGGGGGAGTTCGGATAGCGGCGAATCGCGCGGGGATTCAACTGTGAACTCAAGTGAGGGAGATGATGGAAATGGGGCCGACTCCGTAAGCTCGGGCTGTGGCTTTGGAGTGCACACTGTTACATTGGCATATACGTGGGGAAAGGGTTTGTGGGGTGGAGGGGGTGGGGGAGGCGATGGTGGTGCAATGGAAGGGGAAGGAGGGGTTCGTACTCTCTCTTCATCAATCGGACAATTTTTTTCAACAATTTCGATTGCATTTTCATCGTTACGCTTTTTAGAACTTGGTTCACATTTATTTTCGTCATTTAACTGGTCATTGTTTTGTTCTTCTCTATGAACTGGTGATCTAGAGCGCGTGCGCTTTTTACTCATATATTTGGATGAATCTGTATTCATTTCAGTTTCAATTTCAATGTTATCTGTTGTACCATCGGTCTCATGATTGTTTATCTCAGTATCTGGTGCTTGGGTGTTAATTATATCAGTTATGTCATCGTCTTTGTCGTGCAATGTGTCAGGGGAATTTAAATTAGTTACTACATTCATCTGTTGAGAGTCTGTTGGAGTGCTATTTTGAGCACTATTGTTTTCATCATTCATCATTTGCATATTCGTTGTTTGAGAGTTTGGGCAAGTTTTACGTGTATGTCCCTTCATGTTACATGAAAAGCACGTCAATTCGTCAGACGAAACGTAAATATTATATGTCTGACCTTGAAAAGTAATAGGTAATAAACCGTTGATATTGAGATCTTTTAAATATACATAAACTTGGCGGCGAAAAGACTTTACATGTTTCAGTGCTGGTCTTTTGCACCCGAGTGGGATCGCTCGCACCGCGCTCATGACACGCCCGTATTTAGCTAAGGCATCTGTAATAAAATTGTCAGGTAAAAAAGGGGGAACATTTGATAGCA